TCAGCAGGATGGGGTCTCGCGCTGTGCACCTGTGCCCTCCCACCGTCACCCTTAGCACCTGGACTCCCTTGCAGGGCCTACCCAGTGCAGCAGTACCCCTGCCGGACGAAAGCTGCAGCAGCCATCATGCACATGATCATGAACAACCTGGACCCTGCCGTGGCCCAGGTAACCCCAGGGGCGCCAAAGCGGGGCAGCGCTGTCCAGTCGAGCTGTAACCTGAGACACACATGCAATACATTTAAGCTCTTTATTTAGAAATAATGATAGAGTTCCCAGACAGTTAAAATAAAGACACGGCTTGTAGTCCGTATTGTAAAAATAGTGCTGAGAGGACCTCGTATCCTTCTCCTAGTGTCCCCCCTCCGCCTCTGTCCCCCCCTCCCCCGCCCAGCACCACCACCGGAACATCAATACTGGTGTCATAGAAACGTGTAATTTTACGTTTTCTAATAGCCACACGAAAAAATAAAAAGAAACATGCCTCCTCTCCAGCATCTCCCCTGCCCCCCACCACTCTTTCTTAAAGGGCCATCAGCCACCTTGCCCGTAGAGCCCAGTGCAGGGTGGGGGCCCTCCCTTCCCAGGCCACCATCTCAGGTGACACCATGTCTTCTCCAGTTTCCCCAGGAGCTCGTGACCTACGGAGGAAACGGACAGGTGTTCAGCAATTGGGCTCAGGTATGCTGGACGATGATTCTGGCCCCCAGGCCTCCCCCCAACCACACCCTCTGGTTGGAAGGAGGCTACAAACCCAGGCTCAGGACTCAGGTCTCCACTTGCCTGATGCCTGAGATCACAGCTGGAGACACTGTGGGGATGTTGAAGGTCCGAGGGCGGGAGTGGCATTATTGCAGGCAACAAGGGGGCCTGGAGGGATGGGGCGCTGGGCAGAGCCCCTGAGCCTGAGCAGCCCGCAGAGCCTGGACGGTGGCTTGGGACCACCGTGGGACCCCCACTTACAGAGCCCTCCGTGCTGTGTTCTCTCCGCAGTTCTGGCTGACGATGTCCTACTTGTCACAGATGACAGAGGAGCAGACCCTGGTCATGTACAGCGGGCACCCACTGGGCCTCTTTCCGAGCAGCCCTGGAGCCCCACGGCTGGTCATCACCAACGGGATGGTGGGTCCTGGGCAGCCCGCACGGTGCCGGCCCGGCCGGGGGCCGCAGGGGGAGCCAGGTATCCCTGACACCCACGTAGCCGTCGCTTCCAAGGGTCGGTGTTGTCCTAGCCTTGGCTTCGCCCTCTCTTCCAGGTCATTCCCAACTACTCCTCCAGAGAAGAGTATGAGAAGCTCTTCGCCATGGGGGTTACCATGTAAGTCCCTATTTCAGTTGCTGTTGTCTCATTCCAGTAAATCCCATACATTTCCACTTGTATTCTAGAATGGTATAGCAATATTAAATACTGTTTTGAAAAATACAATCACAGCACTGTAGCAATTTCATATTTACATATTACCTAGTGGTTGTTGTTTTTTTAAAGGGAGACTGTATTAATGCATTTTGGGGTAATTAAAAAATGAATTTTAGGCGCTCTCCCTGATGCTAGACCATTACCATTCTCACTACCACTGTCCTAGGGCCCTTCCTTTACCTCTATAATTTGTTTTCTAAATCAATTTCTTCTACAAATTACTTATACTTCTGTCATTTTCTAAATAAATGTTCTCTTATAAAAAAAGAAAAATAAGTCCTGGCCAGAGTGGTTCAGTGGTTAGAGCATTGGCCTGCACACTGAAAGGTTGTGGGTTTGATTCCTGTTCAAGGGCATGTACCTGAGTTGCAGGTTCAATCCCTGGCCTCTGTGGGGGCATGTGTGGGAGACAACCAATGGATGTGTCTCTCTTACATTTCTCTCTCTCTCCCTCCCTCCCCCCCTTCTTTCCACTCTCTCTAAAAAAATCAATGGGAAAAAAATCCTCGAGTGAGAATTTTTTAAAAAGTAAATAAATATAAAAGTGAATTTTAAACCATCCAAAGTGGGTGGCTGGCCCTGGGCTCACTGCCCTGCTTGCCCTCTCTGTGGTCAGGTATGGCCAGATGACAGCAGGCAGTTATTGCTACATCGGTCCCCAGGGAATCGTCCACGGCACAGTGGTGAGAGACAGGGTCATGCCTGGCATCAGGGGGTGGGAGGCGGACATGCTGGGAGTGGATAGTGAGCTCCAACCCCTTCCCTGCAGCTCACTGTGCTGAATGCGGGACGGCGGTACCTGGGCGTTGAGGACCTGGCTGGGAAAGTCTTTGTCACCTCTGGACTGGGCGGAATGAGTGGGGCTCAGGCCAAAGCCTCTGTCATCGTGGGGTGCATCGGTGTGATCGCAGAGGTGAGCGCCCCAGGAACGCCGAGTCCTCATCCCTGCCCACCTCGCTCCTTCCTCATTCCAGAGGCTCTCACACTCACACAGGTCTCTCTCTCGCCCCCTTGACAAAGTCTCCAAAGTCGGTTCCTGGGCAGCATACCCTCCTGCCTTCAAGAGCCCATCATTTTTCATGGTCATGCCTGTTGAAGCTGTCCCATGAACAGCTCCCCTTCCCCACTGAAGGCCTGGACTGTAGCGGGGAGATAACAAATGTCTGCGAATACATGAACATAGACTCCCCCAATGCAGAGAGCTCACAGTCAGCGGGGGAAACAAATGCGTTGCCCATCAGTGGGGGGTGGGGGGGGGAGGGCAGCCGCTTTTTCTCAGTGGCTGTCCCAGCTTTCTTTGGTGGTGCCAGGACAGGAAGGGAAGCGGGAAGAGGAGGTGACTGGCTCTAAGGAAAGCCTTGGTGATATCCACCTGTGTGCTTTGCACTTAGTTGATATTAAACACGTGACATACACAGCTGTACTTGTTAGGAGCCCATTTGGCTGCAGGTAACAGAAAACGGAGCTACAGCAGCTCACATAATAGGGTTTTATTTTCCTCATGTAACCAAAAGTGTTGGCATTGGTTCTGCAAGCCCAGAGATATCAGGGCCAATGTATCTAGAGTCTCTTGGGCTTCCCTTGTGGGTATAAAATAGCTGCCCCAGTTTGCCCTTGCACTGTGCTATAAAAGTGGGTGATCTTCCAGGGAGGGTGACACCCACTCGTGAAGGGGACATACCCTAAGATGACTTGTGACTGGGTGGTTTTGTGTGTCATGATCACAGGTGGATAAAGCAGCCCTCATGAAACGCCATCAGCAGGGTTGGCTGATGGAAGTGACCGACAGCTTGGACCAGTGCATTAAAAGACTCAGGTACAACTCCCGACAAGTGAGCACCGAAAGTGGGGGCCGTGGGAAAGGGTCCAGGGGCTGGGTTGCTCTGCATAGACCTGTTCAATGCCTGACATCTGGCCACGGGTGGCCACCATATGAAGTGGCCACCCAGAGGTGGCACAGGAGGACCTTCTAAATCCTGTTTCTCACTGGTCATTATTGCTGGTGTGTATGAAACCCTGGGTTTGCATACTTTGGTGGTCAGACACTTGGTTCTAAGAGATTTTCAATCATCTTCTCATTTCCCATAGTTTTGCAAAGAATGTATCTGTTTTTCTCACTGTTGTTACCTCAGTGCTTAGCCCAGAGCCTGGTGCATAGTAGCTGCTCATTGAATTTGTTGGGGAAACATGAACTTTGAAAGATGGAGCTTTTCCCTCCGTGGGACTCCTTCAGGTTCAATACTCGATATCCCTTCCCAATGGCGCTGTGACTGCCTGTGCAGTGTCTGGGGGTGGGCAGCATTTCTCCTGCTGCCTGAGAACTTCGGAGGTGTTTTAGTGGGAGTGGGAGTGTGTGTGTGTGTGTGTGTGTGTGTGTGTGTGTGAGGGGACTGTCCTGGGCCTGCTGATCAGATGCCATTTTGGAAGCACCCTCTCCACTGATTGCTTAGCAGAACTGAGCTTGTGTGGGGAAGACGCATGGGCGCCATGGCCCTCCACCCTGGCTAGTCTATTCTGACCCATGGGCGCTTGAATGAAAATGTCCCAGAGCACACAGAATTTGAGAAATATTCCTATTTTCAAGATGGGATACTATTTGACATACATCTTTCTAAAATACTAGTTTACTTTCTTAGTAGCATACCCACTTGCACGTGCGCACACACACATGCAAACGCACACACAACTCACACACACTTCCAACCACTCTGGTATTCTTGTCAGCTCTAAATATACCTCTAACATCTGCCTTCTCCCTCTTGTCACTCACACAAAGTTTGGCCAGCTTAATTCCTTAATTCCTACTGCCACACACACAGCCATTTCACATCAGTTGAACAAACTGCCTTAAGCAGCCTGTCTCATCACATTTCTGCCCCCTGAGCTGAAGACACAGTTGGGAATGGAGTGATGGGGCTCACGGTACCCGACCTGGCCCCTAGGCTGAGATGCAGTCCCCCTCCTCCAGCGCCCCTCACTGCTCTAGGACCATGTGCCCTTTTCCACTTGGTTATCCTGTGCACCTGGGGGAGGAGCATGTCTGGCCTCCGCTGGCATCTCTCTGCTAAACAAGGCCTTCGGTCGATCTACATCTTTGAGTGGGTGCCACACTGCCCACTGTCCCACTTACTGGTGCTCTGTGATAGCTCTCATACCTGTGAGAGCTTTTAAGCATTCAAATCTTCTGTTCCCCAAAATATACTTTCATTTTTTTGTACTTTTATTTTTCCAAGTAATGTTTGGAATCAATCTTAGTGACTTTTATTATTTGAGGATCATCTTGAGTGAATTCTTGGAAGGTCCTTATTAGAATTCTAACAGCAGGAGCCCTAATTCTAAGCATTGCCTCAGTTCTCCTGTCTGGGGTAGTCAAGTCTGCTATTTCCCTTATGGCCTGGGTCCTCAAAGTACATCCCTCACAGGTCCCTGTGTCTCAGGCCCTGCACATGCACACATACTTTTGGTGGCCTCTTGCATCTTCTGCATTCTAGCTATCTGGGTGGCCCTGTGTGTTGGTCGGGGTGGACAGCTGTGGGCAGGTGTGATGGGGCCATCAGTTCTGCTCTTGTGCCCTCTAGGGAAGCAAGGAAAACAAAGGAGGTGCTCAGCCTTGGTTACCATGGGAATGTGGTGGACCTGTGGTAAGTGCAGGAGTGGGAGTCGGCAGCCTTGGGGACCCTAGGTGAACCTTGCCCTCCAGCCAAGGTCCCAGTGGTGGCCAGGTACTCCCAGAACACACAGCTTCAAGCACTGGTTTGAGGCTCTGCTCCCAGCTTTCATCGCCTGGATCTTGGCAGAGCTCACAGCAGCCTTCCCACAAGTGTTCTTTAGGGGGAGTGGGGTTGGGGGGGTGTAGGGTTAGCCCCAGTCCCTGATTACTGGACATGTGGCTGGAAAATGTGCTACAAAGCCCTCCTGGCTGGGCCCTAAACTCGGGTCCCAGATGCTGCCCTGGGCAGGTGCTGCCCGCCCTACACTGACTATCCCACATCTTCCCCAGGGAGCGCCTGGTCCAGGAATTAGACAAGACGGGGGAGCTCTTGGTAGACCTGGGGTCGGACCAGACATCCTGCCACAACCCATTCAATGGAGGATATTACCCTGTGCAGCTCGGCTTTGCAGAGGCCCAGAGCCTCATGGCCTCCGATCCTGCCACATTCAAGAAACTGGTCCAGGAAAGGTGATGCTGGCCCCAGGGCTGCTTGGGTGTGGGGCAGGGGTGGGGGTGGGAGGCTGCACCCTGGAAGGAGCTTTTGGACTGAGTAGCTGTGGCCTCTGCTTGGTTCTCCCAGTGGTCAGCTGTGTGGCCTTGGGTGAGACCCTTAACCTCTCTGAGCCTCTGTTGTCTCCTCTGTCAGATTGGGTGGAATCGGCAGAGCTGGCTCAGCCCCATGGGATGAGGCTGGGGGTGACAGGGATGGGGCAGGGCGGGCAGAACGGACAGCTGACTGCTGGCTTGTTGCAGCCTGAGGAGGCAGGTCTCGGCCATCAACAGGCTGGCCAAGGAGAACTTCTTCTTCTGGGACTATGGCAACGCCTTCCTCTTGGAGGCCCAGAGAGCAGGTGAGAGAAGGGAGGCTTGGTGAGGGGGCCCCATCCTCCTGGGCTGCACTGGGCATACTCCCTTCCTTCCAGCCAGTGTGTGTGTGTCGGGGGGGGGAGGGGGTGCTGGCAGGCGCCTGGGAGAGGCAGGGGTCATGGCATGCAGGTTTTACTGTGCCCTTGCCCAGCCTTCTGGAAGTTGGTCCTGCCAGCTTGACCTCTCTGGCCTCAGTTTCTCCATTTTCCTTAAAAATATAAAGCACCATAAGGAGAGTGGGTACAGTGCTCCAGTATGAGCTCCAATGCAATGTACATTTTTTCATAAAGGAAACTTACCTTCATAGATTGTAAAGTTCAGAAGGTACAAAAGATATTCAGTGGAAAGTCTCCCTCCCAGCCCATCTCTGGCACCAGCTCTCCCCCGCACCCTGGAGTCTGTAGGCTCTGGGTGCCTGTCTGGACACCCGTGAGGCGGACACTGGCATGTGGCCATGCTGCCCTGCCCCACACCATGAGCCCACGGGCTCCAGCCGGGGCAGCACTTGCTGTCTCTTTCTTTCCTGAGAGGCCTGGCGGTGCTGCGCTGTCAGGACAGAGCTTCTTCAGTCTTTCCCGGGCTCTGTGCAAACTGTCATCTGGTGGTGGCGTATGTCCTCACCCTGGGGTGGGGCCTGCCAGCCCTCGGCTCCTCCAGGGGACTGTGCGGATGCTCTGTCCACAGGAGCTGACGTGGAGAAAAAAGGCGCCGAAAGGACCGAGTTCCGCTACCCCTCCTACGTCCAGCATATTATGGGGTAAGTGACGAGGCCCCTTCAGTGTCTGGGTCCTGGACCTTCAGACCAGAAAAGCCCCTCCTCTGATCACTGCTATGGTCCTCAGTGGCCACCACACCAGGTCATGGGGCTCCACCACAAAATGCAGGTAGAGAAACTGGAACCGTGAGAGGCCATGGACAGGGCCTCAGTGACAGGACAAGGAGGCTGCAGGGGCCTGGAACCTACAACCTCCAGCACCCAGGGCCCTAAATGCTGCCCATCCCGTGGCCATGGCAGTGGGCCCAAGAGGGCGGCTGATGGCTTGATCCATGGAGGCCGAGGCCTGCTGTCCCGTGAGCCACTGTGTCTGTCTGGCTGTGCAGGGCAGGTCGGGAGAGGCCAGTTGCCCAGGACAAGGAGGGAGGAGTGGGAGGTACCCAGAGGGAGAGTGGGCTTGGCTGAGGGTGGGCTTGGAGGCCAGGGCCGGGGGCAACACAGGGGGAGAAGGGCGGGCTCCGGATGCTTTTGGAAGATTCCTGGCCCTCAGTGTGGCAAAATGGGTCAGGGAGGGAGGGAGGCAAGAAGGCAAACCTCTCCTTCTCAGGTTCACTGTGGGCGGGGCAGAGCCAGAGTGCCACATTGCAGGGGGCATTGGGCCTCTCTGGGGAGGGAAGCGGTGGGGTGGCCCACAAGGGGCTGTGGAGTGTGGGACCCCAGGGAGGGCTAGGCCGCTGCCTCCATCTGCCTGGAGTTCACACAGCAAGGTCAGGTCAGCTCAGGCCGATTTGGCCAAGTCCCTGCATTTACTATGTCTCCTAACTATTTAGTTTTCCTTGAGGGGTTGTCAGGTTGTCTATAACAGCAATCTAAGGAATTCCTGCTTGTCTGGGTCCTAGCTCCCTGCTCCTGCTGCTGGAGGTGGTGCAGCTGTGAGGGGGAGATAGAGCTAGAGGGAGGGAGAGCACTGAGGGGATGGAGGTGGGGCTGAGGGGCAGGGAGGAGGTGGAGGAAGAAGAAGTAGTGGGGAGGGAAAGGAAGGGGTGACTCAGGGAGAGGGGTGAAAGGAGAGGGAGGGGGTGCTGGGGGAATTTGTAGAGGAGGAAAGAGGGTGCTGAGGGGAGGGGCTGAAGGAGAGGAAGGTGGAGGAGGAGGGAGAAGG